TTGTGTTGGTAATTTGGCCACTTTAAAGCTTGATTAAAGAGAGATAATTTTTTACAAAAAAATCAGTTTCGGTCATATAAATATTGATAATTTATCATTTTTTCACCTAGTTATAAGTCGGGAATGACCCATTGGTGTTTCTCAGGTTATGGCTGTGAACTTACAATTAACACTGTTTTCTGCTGCACATAAATTCACTTATTTTTAGACTTAAATCCATTTAATTATGTTCTGTTGATGATATATGATATAAGAAGCCGAATAAGATTGTTTGAAAGTCCAAAAGAGGCTAGTTTTTTTACCAAAATACCGTGGTCAAGCTGACCAAATGCCTTTGTCATATCCGTATAAATAACATCTGTCTGAGTTCGGTTGTCGTTTTCTGAAATATACTGGGTAATTATGGAGAGATTAGTAACTGTTCAACGACCTTTTACAAAGCCATGTTGTTGATCCGATATTATGTTGCGGACGTGTTGATAAACTGTACGTTCCAGCAACATTTCAAACACTTTACTAAAGTTACAGATGATAGAGATAGGGCGATAATTTTCCAACTCAGTTTTATTTCCTTTTTTTAAATATGGGACAAACAGACTCTTTCCACACTGACGGTATGATTTTAGTCTGGATGCAGGTATTTATAAGTACAGTTAAAGGATGAGCCATAGCTACAGCACAGTCTTTTAAAAGGAAAGCAGGAATATGGTCAGGCCCAGTAGTCCGCTTGGGCTTTACTGATTTTAAAGTATCTAATACTTGGTTTTCTAAAAAAGCTAGTAATGTTTGTGATACACATGTGACTTTCGTTTATCGGGACATTTGTGACTGAAGACTGCACATAAGATTTACTAAAAAAGGTAGCACAGCCATTTAATATATCCGATGGATTAAAAAGAAAGTTACCTTCATAGATCATGGTACTACCAACTTTATTGGAGCATTTTTTATTATTGATGTAAGCCCATAATTTATTGGAATTAAGCGATATTTCTGATTCAGCTTTTTCAAGTTATTGTTTATAGGCTCTATCGACATCAACTTTAACTTGACTTCTTATGCGTCTAAACTCCTCAAAAGCATGACTATCATTCTCTCTCTTATACTGTCGCCAGAGTTTGGATTTTTTGCGAATTAAATTTATAATAGCTCCATTATACCAAATAGAATAATTTTTCTTACTGTGGACTGTATACCTAGGTACACATTTATCTAACACATTGTATAATTTTCCATAAAAGTATGTACAGGCATCATCAACTTCATAAAATTTTTCCAGAAAAGTCCAGTCAATTTTGGAAATCATGTCATACAACATCGGAAAATTCGCCTTACGAAAGTTATAGCAATTTATGAAAGATGACTCTAAATTGTTTCTATTATTTAGTTTTTCTACTGATTTTAATATAATGTCCAAAGCTGGATGATGACAATCTTCCTTTATCAACGGATCTACGGATTTTTTAACAAAACAGGAATTATTAAAGTACATAGGTCTAGTAGCCTATTATTTTTATTAAAAACAAAGTTATTCTGTTTTAAATCAAAAACATCTGCAAAATTGTTTAATGTATCTAATCTTGCAGTCGACTGAGAGTTGGTAAAAAACAAAACATATTCCGTTATATTGAAATCATCTAAAAACAAGATTTTATTTCCATACAAAAAATCCAAAGACTCTAGCGAGTCCAAAAGGGATTCGTAATCCTCAAAAGGTGTTTTTGGTAGAATATGTAGATTACAAATATAAATATGCCTAAGATTTATTCTAACTTTTATTAACAAGACATCAATGAATCTAAATAGCGGCCAAGAGTATTGATGCAAATCAATACGACTTCATGAACCGCGATCAACACTCCACCGCCTCGAGTTTTACCACTAACTGTAAGATTTCTATCTGTTCTAAAAACATTAAAATCTGTAGTAAATAGTTCCGAATTATTGACCGACGAGTCCAACCAGGTTTCGGTAAAAACAAATATTTTGAAAGTGATTGATATTTCATTCTTACTTTTATTTATAGATTTATATGAAGGTGTGTTAACGGGGGACAACAGAAAATTTGCTAATGGTTGCTAATTAGAGGATAAGTTTGATCTCAACTTTTTTAATGACTGGATGTATACCGAACATTTTTCTTTCTCCCACACAGCATGATTAGTAGCTGCACCGGGATTATTTAATTTTACACAATTTGTATATTTTTTTTCGGTTGATTTGCAGTCGTTCTGGTTCGTGGCCTCCGCCGCATATTGGACATGAAGCGGATTTCGTACATTTTTGTAACGAATGCTTAAATTCATTACATTTAAAACACCTGTACACCTCAAGCACATCAAACACAGCACAACTATCATAACCAACAAACATGTTACCTGCCTTTAAAGCTCGTGCATAAGCTAATTTATCTAGTTGTGTGAAGTTAGTCTAATAAGCTTACTTCCTACTAGCAGTGGTTAACTACGGTGAGGGGAACGAATGTCATGAGATAAAATAGGGTTGTCAATATACGTTTGATTAATAAGGATTGCAATATTTATTTTACAACTTATTTCATGGCGCAGTCAGTGGTTATTTAGTTGAATTGCCTTATATTTAAAACGTAAAGGAAAGCAACATGCCAAAAAGAAATCTACGGTCCAAAACTTTTGTAGAAGAAGCGGAGCAATCTGCTAGTTGTAGACTGACTTCTTTAGAATCTGCAGTATCTTGTACACAAAATAGTATTACTTTATTAGAAAAGAAAACTAATGATGCTTTAGTACGGATAGAATCAAATTTTGGACGACAATGTTCTTCTATTCAGACTATGTTAGAAAGTTTAGTGATGAGAGACAATAATACACAAAGTAATTCAACAGAACCTCCTGAAATATCCACTAACATTTCCAACGCTAGTCAAGAAAATTCCATCATAAGTAAGGCCACTAGTTCCAGATCTGAAATCCACCTTTCAAGTGCAGTTCCGAATCCTGAAAAAAGTGTAGAATCTTTAAAATTTTCTCAGTTTAAAGATTGGAGGCGAAAATATGAAAATTACGTGATATTACAGAATTTGAAATGTATTCCCGAAAAACAACTAGTGGCGCTTCTTGAATCCTTTTTCAGTCAGGATATTTCCGATGTTGTTAGATTGGTACTTAAAATTGAAAATAAAGATAATCTAACAGCAGTGGATTTACTCAATAAACTTGAGGAGTATTTTAAGAAAAAAGAAAACAATCGTTTAAGAAGAAGCCAATTTATGTCCAGAAAACAGGAACAAGGGGAGCCTTTCTCATCGTTTTATAGGGAAAAAGTTAAACTTTTTCAGTTAACAGATCCATGTTCCCACTGTTACAACAGATGTTTAGCAGACCACCTTATAGAATCCGTATTTGATGGTTTTATTCGAAAAAAATGTAGAAAGTTATCAGATACTGCTGGCGTAGAAGAGGTGGTTAAATTATGTGAAACTGAAGAAGCTACATTAATTGAAGAAAACATGTCTATAAGTAATGTTTCAAATATTCAAATTAAAAATCAGGCGAATAAATATAACAAAAAGAAATGTCCTAGATGTAATAATCCGTGGCACAAAAATTTGCGTGAATGTCCTGCAAAAACATCAATTTGCGAGAAATGCAAAAGAAAAGGCCATTTTACCAGTTGCTGTTTATCAAAAGATATTCAAACAGTAGAATACACGTCTGAAGATCCGGAAATTCTTAAGATTGGGTGCCTTCGAATTAATTAATTGTCATATAATGACGATCGTCAAAAAAAGCAAATACGAATCAAAGTTACATCTCTTTCCAGTGACGTGAATTTTGAATACAAGGCAACACCGGATACAGGGGCAGAAGTTTGTGTTGCGGGTGAAGAGTTTTTGAAAAAATTAAAATACACTACAAAAAATCTAAGATGTTCTAATATAAGTCTGGAATCTGCGGACAAATCCAAATTAAACATGCTTGGATATCTGATTTGTAATATAAAGTACTATAATAAAAGCGTTCAAGTTTTGATATACATCTGTTTCGGAGTAAGAGAGCTTCTAATAGACCGCAAAACTCTTATAAACTTAGATATTATTCATCCAGATTTTCCAGCACCACTTCCACTTCTAAATGCAGAAATCAATAATTGTAAAATTGCAATGTTACAAAATCCTTCTGATGAAGAATGTAATGATATAAAAACATTCCTCTTAAACGAATATGCTGATGTGTTCAACTCAGATAACACCCTAAAGCCAATGGAAGGCAATCCTATGCACATATATTTGAAAGAAAATGTGTTTCCATATGCCATAACCTGCCCAAGGAGAATACCGTTTGCTTGGAGAGATCAAGTAAAAAAATCAGAGTTTGTGTGGATTTTACAAAGTTAAATTGTTTTATTCAACCCTATTTTTATCTCATGACATTCGTTCCCCTCACAGTAGTTAACCCCTGCTAGTAGGAAGTAAGCTTATTAGACTATCTTCACACATGAAATAAGTTGTAAAATAAATATTGCAATCCTTATTAATCAAACGTATATTGACAACCCTATTTTTGTGGGGGAGGTGTGTGAAGATAGTCTAATAAGCTTACTTCCTACTAGCAGTGGTTAACTACGGTGAGGGGAACGAATGTCATGAGATAAAATAGGGTTGTCAATATACGTTTGATTAATAAGGATTGCAATATTTATTTTACAACTTATTTCAGTTGTAGGACAGCTTGAAATATTTTAACATTTTTCTTTGTTGGATATATTTTTACAGTTTTGCATATTGAATTATCAGAGAGAATGTGTTTATTGCCTGAAAAAAAGATAATTATGTAGATCTTCAGAAGAATAGTTGCTTGCCAAACCAACAAGACGTATTTTAGAAAGAATGCCCTCAATTTATTTTATGTTGTACTCGCATGACATCTTTTGCTGGACCAAAGTTCTAAATTTTTCATTATCCGCCTTGCTTTGGCACGAAACCAAAATACCTCCATCTTTAACAGTTTAACTTTAACAAGCTGTAAATTTTCCTGACGTGGATCAGTTGAATTTAAGATATCAGCCTTGGTTTGATTATGTTCTTGTTCGCTATTGTTGGGACGAATCAAAATACCAGGTTGTGATTTGTCTTTCTGCACATCAGAGTATTTAGGTTGAACAGCGGGTGGTTCAGATTCAGCAATTTTATCAACCTTTAATTTTATCGACATGATCTGGTTTTTCAAGGATTTCAAAGCATCATCTAATTTAGTTTCAACTATTTTCTGCACACCGGTCGGGTCAAGTAAAACACAATTTTTAATACAATCAGAGCACTTCCTGGATAGCCCTGGTATAGTATTATGCAGATTAATGATATTGGCAGTTTTTGTAATACAAAAAGCATGGTATTCTTTTTTGCAGCCATCGCAAGAAATCCCCGGCCTGTTTCCTCTTAATGGATTTAAACACAATGTACAATTAAACATAATTATCTAAAAGCATACCTGTCGTTGTAATTGCTTAATATATGTAGATTATAGATTTCACACTAACAGTTCACTATCCAAAATTTTGGAATTTTTACTTAAGATTTATCATCAAAAATTACACGAATATTCGCACACGATGTGAAGCGTGCCAGTGAGAGAATCATATTTAGGAAATTTACCCATTATTCTAAGGATCTTCCTTTGAAGAATAAAAACGTTACTCGAATCAGTTGAGTTTTCACATAGACTAATCTCGTATCTCAATCGACATGCTACTTGAGCATAATAAATACAGATTATTAAAGTTTCATGGTCTAAAACTTCTCATACATTTCTAATAGTGTAGTGCCAGTCAATCCGAATTATGCTTTCTGTGGGGGACTAAGTGTCACAAGCTGAATTGTTAGTGAATTGGAAACTAATATTTTGGAGATTCTAAAACCGGAGGTAATCCAAAATTAGACCTTGCAGAAGGGCACTATTTTCAAAAAATGAGATATTGGTACCATTGCATAGAGCGTAACGTGTACTACAATATGACCGCAAAATCCAAAAAGTCACTTTACAAGTTAGGTAAATGTATTATTTTAAACATTTAAAAAACCATTGGGGCTTACGGCCTCGGTTTTATCTTAAGAAAAAATTGCGAAAAATATTGTACTTTTTATGTTAACACTACGAAATTAGCTAAACAAGATTTTAAAACAAAAAAGTTACTCTTTATAAAAGTTTCTAAAATGTGTTTAGATCATAACAAAACATCAACCATATTTTTATGTCTTATAATAATCAACTTATGTTAATTATTATAAAACAAAAATAAACCGGCTGCCGCGGTGTTATCGCTTTGTATATTCCATCTTCGTTGCACCTATGATTGTAAACATATATCTATCTCTATCGCACTAACACACTAGCCCGGCTCATAATATTGGGTGCTATGATTGAACGTTTACGTTATCCGTAACGTACATGTTAGGCCGAGTTTTAACAGAAATGAGGCAAATTCGTATGATGAAAAATTTTTTTCAACACGTTACTGTTATTTTCCGCCTGTTATCTTCTAATTTAACAGTTTTCCATCATCCGAACTTGCCTCGTTACTTTTAAAATTCGGCCTAACATGTACGTTACGGATAACGTAAAAGTTCAATCATAGGACCCATTATCACTACAACTGGCAAACAATCTTATTTTTTTTGTTGCTAAACTATTGTAGTTCTGATAATGTTTAATACAGATGTCCCAAATTGTATGGATCCAAATGAAAGTTTATAGATTTCATAATTATTGTAAGTAAAAAAGTTCATATTAACATGTAAACATTGATCAAAATTCGATCAAAAGTCAAGAGATGTAAAAATTAGATAACTAATTAAAAAATCAAGAAAATATCAAATATCACAAGTGGCGTGCAACTGAAAATGTATCATTTCTATCAATTTTGAACCACCATGCAGTAACTTTGCTAATTATGGAAATCGGACCATTGTTAATATAAACCTTTTTGCTTAACGTTTAACCTGTCTCCGTTTTATATAATTGGGGATACCCTGTATACAAGACCTCTGAAATAGGGGTCTCGAATAAATTTATTATTAGTAATAATACCTACTAAATCTTGAAAAAAAAAATATATGCCAGGAGTAAAATTAAAAGGGAAAAATATCTGACACTGAAAGAGCCCTTCCTCGACTTTAATAAGTATATCTCTTTAAAGAGCATGGATAATTATATTTTTTTATTAGAAATACCACAACTTAGAATCTTGTTTAAAAATCGTATTAAATATTCTCCTCAACTTCTGGTTCTTCGCTGTACTCTTCAAAACCTGGCTTTGGTTAAGAATTTAACCAAATCTTGGTTTGGTAAAAGCCTAAGGAATTGTCTGTTTATTAAAGTGTAAAAAAGATCTTCTTTGCACACTGATGCTTTTTCCGTGGCTGCCACGTATTACGGGATTTTCTGTATTCTTCTCAAAGGCCCACTGCTTGAATGGCCTACCGGTCTTATGACCGGTAGACCGACGGCTGACGACCCAATCCGACACTAGTTGGGGGTAGGCTAGATAACATTAAGAGAAAGAACAACAACGAATACATTTTTATTACAAATTTTTTAATAATATTAAACAGATCTTCGGAATGGAACTTTTTTACCATTCCAGTAAATTGACTCTTTGTATCGCATCCTGTTAAAGTATGGAAAGAAGGTAGGTTGTTCGTTAGACTGTCGTTAAGGGCTATTTCATGAACTGCCACGTAACTAGTAAAATTTATGATTCAGTCTTTTAACTAAATTTCACTAGGAAGAAGGTTTTTAAAATAAACCAAAATAATAGGCACATCGGTATTGTTAGAGTTAATAACGCATGTAGAAAAACCTTCCGTTTTAGCACAGAGTAGCACAGTTTTAGAATTCTAGTGTCAGCTTCTTCATGGTTTGATTCTAATAGTTATCGATTTTCTTTTTAAATATCAATATTGAATTTAAAGTGTGGTATGTTAAAATCCGCCACTCGTTACAAATTGTATCTTATAATCATGGAATCCGTAATCAGGAAATTCGTTTGATAAAATATTGGTTAACTGATTATTATTAAATATTCAGTGAATAAATTGTTGTAGAAACGGGATCTCTTAATTAGTACTAATCCTATTAATTGTACTGGAAGATCCTCTTTTTTTGACGAGTAACAACATCTTTAATCGAATTTTCTGTGTAATGATTAAAAACAATGTCAATATGTTCTGCTTTATATTTGATTTGATATACAATTTTTGAAAATATATCAGAATATTCCTTAAATAAATAAAAGATCGACCAAAAATCGGTAGATTTTGAAGAGTTCAACGAAGCATCGGCAGATGAGGAGAAAATATAATACGATTATTACACAAGATTGTAAGTTGTAGTTTTTCTAAAAAAATATGAATATCCATGCTCTTTACTTAAAGAAATATAATTATTAAAGTCGAGGGAGGGCTCTTTCAGTGTTAGATATTTTTCCATTCTAATTTTACTCATGACAATTTTTTTCAATATTTAATAGGTATTACATTATACAAGGTGTCCCAAATTATATAAAACGGAGATAATTTTAAGCAAAATGGTTCTTTTAACAATGGTCAGATTTCCATCAGTAGCAAAGTTACTAATGGTTTAAAACTGATAGGAATGATACATTTTCAGCTGCACGCCACTTGTGAAATCTGATATTTTCTTGGTTTTTTAATTAGTTATCTAACTTTTACATCTCTTGACTTTTGATCAATGTTTGCGTGTTACGTGTTATTATGAACTTTTTTACTTACAATTATGAAATCTATAAACTTTCATTTGGATCCGTACAATTTGGGACATCTGTATTAAACATTATCAGAACTACAATTATTAACAAATGCCAGTTGTGGTGAAAATATTATTAGCCCGGCTAGTTTCGTAGTGCGATAGAGGTAGATATATGCTTACAATCATAGGTGCAACGAAGATAGAATATACAAAGCGATAACACCGTTAGCAGGGTGTAAAAATCTCGCGGCAGCCGTTTTAATTGTTTTGTTTTATATTAATTAACATAAGTTGATTATTATAAGACATAAAAATATGGTTGATGTTTTGTTACGATCTAAACACATTTTAGAAACTTTTATAAAGAGTAACTTTTTTTGTTTTAAAATCTTGTTTAGCTAATTTCGTGGTGTTAATATAAAGAGTACAATATTTTTCGCAATTTTTTCTTAAGATAAAACCGAGGAAATCGCATTTTAATTTTTTTTGGGCTGTGATCCCCAATGGTTTTTTAAATGTTTAAAATAAAGTGACTTTTTGGATTTTGCGGTCATATTGTAGTACACGTTACGCTCTATGCAATGGTACCAATATCTCGTTTGTTGAAAATAGTGCCCTTCTGCAAGCTCTAATTTTGGAGGATTACCTCCGGTTTTAGAATCTTCAAAATATTAGTTTAAATTCAGATCGGGCCCCGTGACAAATAAAAACTTTTCCTCTTCTACTTGAATTGCTTTTTCTAAAAAAAAAAAAATAATAAATATAACAATCCAATATAAAATAAATAAAAAATACAACATAAAAGTATCAAAAGTTATAATTATATAAAAAAAAGTTGAAATTGAAACCTTCTTCTACTTCGCTGAATTAATCAGGGGAGCGTGTTTATCTAGATACGTGACAAACAACTAACAAAAGTGTAAAGCACAATTGTTTTGGTATTTTCTACTTCAGGCCTGCACAACATGCGGCCCGCCATTATCAGTAACAAAATTGCAGTTAGGTATTAATTGCCTTTTTAAGAGCTCGATAGAAGGACCTGGTTTATTATAACTTGACAGAGGTTTATAAATTATGAGCTGACGACCTTTTTCTTAGAAGCTCAACAGAAGACCTCGATCACCCCCCTCCCCGCCAAAAAAAAATAATTTACATCCGTTCTTGGCTCTCGTACACCTACGGTTTGTTTGAACTGGCCCTTTGAACATCTCAGTTGTGCAGCCCTGCTCTACTTACTGTGCTGTTGGTATTTGAAAATACCCATCTGTTATGTGAGCCATTTCATTATTTAATCATGCTCTAACCCTACAAGTCCCTCTCTGTCTTATTTGGCCTTTGAGGCTCAACTTGTCCGATTATTATACATAATTAAACCCCTTAAGACCAAACCTAAGGGACGACTATGGCGGAGGTGATTTCGATGACTATTCGAGAAAGGACTAGATAATATTTCTGGTCTGTTCCAAATATTTCTAGTTTGGTGGAGGAGCTTCTAGACTCCATCAAACTTTAGAAATTTGTATATAAATATTGGTGGAAGAACACAGTGCAATCAGTTATTATATGGACAGTGAAGATAAATAGTAAATAATAGATAGACAGTGGTGAATATAAATAGTGATCAGTTTAAAGACATTCGAAGTATATATAAATTAGAATAGTTGTGTTATAAAATAAATAAGTGTTTAAATAAATTATTAATAAATAAACAGTTGTGGTGAAAATATTATTAGCCCGGCTAGTTTCGTAGTGCGATAGAGGTAGATATATGCTTACAATCATAGGTGCAACGAAGATGGAATATA